TAGATTTTGATAAATTAAATTTCGGGCTTAGCTGCAACATTCAAGGAGAAAATGATGGCTAATTTGTTGTAATACTACATTGACCAGAAGCATTTGCATGTAAAGATAAACAATGCTTTAAACGGGTAACTTCAGGAACATTAGCTCACATAAAGAACAGGCATTCATCTGCAAAGAACAAGTGAGAAACCAAAGGGAATATCTTAATAACCTTAGCACCATGGTGATGACCAGCAGCTTGATATTTTATGTAAAATGAAAAAGAGACCCTACACATAAATAATAAATAAGTACAGTGAGAGTGGGGTCACCTTGCCTCAAAACCGGTGATGGGATAATCAGACCATACTCATCTCCCCCTCGAGTTATAGAATACTCCATCGAAGAGATAATACCTATAACTTATGAAGTCAATGTTTCATGAAATCCCGACTTTAACATTATAGCCTCCAAAAAATACCACTCCACTCGATCATATGCCTTGCTCATATCCAATTTTCATTTCAATGGAAAAAAAAAAGCCTTCCTTACCTTGAGTTTTTATTTTCAAAGTGTGGAAAAGCTCAAAGCAATAATAATATTATCCATGATTAGCCTTCGTGGAATAAAAGCACTTTGCGAGTCATCAATAACTAAGGGTAAGAGTAATTTCAATCGATTGGCTATCATTTTACACACAACTCTATTTTGCTACTTTACATAATGAGATATGTCTTAAATCAATAACGAATTTCGAATTTTGCTGCTTCTTTAGATTAAGAATAATATTAGTACGATATGAGCCAAACATACCTCCATTATTATTCAAGCAATTTAATCAAGCATCACAAAAATCTGCTCCTACAATATTCCAATATGACTGATAAAATCCAAGACTCAATCCATCGGGCACGGGAGATTTGTCTAGGTACATGGAAAAGAGAGCGGATTTTAGTTCTTCTTGAGAATAAGGGGCCATCAATAGCTGATTTTGAGCAATTGAAACTTTTGAGTCGATACAATCAATAATAGGATCAACATCACTTGACGCCAATACAGCTCTTATTGATGAAGGAAATCACCATATTTCTCCTCTACTTGACAAATTTGATCACACTGAGAACCCAAAGAGTGTCGTCAAAGCTAGTGTTATGGCATCCCAAGCCCAGCAAGATATTGTCCACTTTGGGCTGAACCCACTCAGGCCCGCACAGTGTTATTCTTAGGCTAGAACCACCTCATACCCCAAAAGGCCTCTTGCTAGTCCAAGGTTTGCCCTTCCTTATGTAATGATTCTATAAAAATAACAAAATATAGGCAATTGATCATATTTGAAGTCAACCCAAAACCATTCTCCCTTTGCTTCTTAACTAGCATTTGACATTTCAATGGCTTATGAACGTTGATACTGACTTTGATCTTCATACAATCACATCATAATCCAGTGAAGTTTCTTCGATAAGCTTCAATAGATTCAATAATGAAGTCACCCACATCACGACCAACCCTCTCCGAAATGAAACCATTAATTAAATTGTGTATAAGTACCTAAAGATCTAACTTTGTCAACTTCAGCTCCCTAGGTTTGTTACTTGGTTTCAGTTCTTTTAGAAGTAGAGGGTTCTAAGGAAAGCTCCATGGACCTCCCTTAATGACTCGCTCTACATCTAAGTCGTGGAAGAATTTGAAAATATAAGCATGGTTTCCCAATTCCTTGATAATGAGACCCTTTATCGGCCGCCACACACTTCCCATTATCTATTTAAAAGCCATGAAATTTATGGATTTGTCAGTCAATAGCCATTGTACCACACAGTGTTTTCAATAAATTCCATGATCTTGTTGTTTTGCATTTGTATCTTCTTCAACATACTCCATATGACGACTCCCTTCCTCCGAATTTAGCCTAGCATAAACTTCAACAACCAAGCTATCCGCCTCACTCCATGTCTCCACAAGAAAGAAGAGAAAAAATAGATAGAAAAGAGAAGGAAGAGAAAGTGAAAATAAGTAGAGAAGAGAAACTTGTTAACTGAAACAAGAAGAAGAAACTCTCAACATTGGAGAGAAAAGTGATAAAATATAGTGATAACATTTTTCATTGTCGATGTTAAGTCATGTTTGAAGACTTTGTTAATCATTCAATTGTACCTGGATACACACAATAATTAAAATGTCTTTCAAAAATTTGATCATATAGGTCTCATTGTTTTATCTCTTTTATACTAATTAACCATTTTATTTATAAATATGTCATTTATTGTCTTACTTTTCGATTAATTGCTCTTTTATACTAATTAACCATTTTATTTACTTTTCCATTAATTGCTAGTTAAATATGTCATTTATTGTCTTACTTTTCGATTAATTGCTCTTTTATACTAATTAACCATTTTATTTACTTTTCCATTAATTGCTAGTTAAATATGTCATTTATTGTCTTACTTTTCGATTAATTGCTCTTTTATACTAATTAACCATTTTATTTACTTTCTCATTAATTGCTAGTTAAATGTCATTATTGTCTTACTTTTCCATTAATTGCTAGTCAAATATATCATTATTTTTCTTTATAAATGCATGAGTAATGTAAAAAGTATGTGAAAGAACAAGTTACTATTACAAGTATATATCTGAGTACCATACTGAGTATATATCTGAAGCATCATTATACCCATAATGATTTATATATGATTTACATTTCTTTATTTACGAAAGACGTCACTATTTATGAAGCAAGTAATATGTCTGACTGAAATTGATATTTTGATATATACAAGTATATACCGTCTGCTTGCATAGAAAACAAGCTCCATAATATTGTAGGAGATAATATTAAAATATATTATATTCTTTAAAGAAATGATACACTAAAGGAAAAGACTAGTAATGTATTCATTAGGGGGAGAAATAAATTTTTAAAACATAAAGTCTATTATAATCTTTTTCCTTCAATAAGTATCTTTTTTTCCCATTGGATGCATATTCTCTGTGTAATGGATATATAAGAGAGTGTGTTATAAAACTATACAATATAACGAATGTACATTAAGTTTATTAAAGAAATTATTTATTTCTCCAAAAATTATGTCCTTTGAAATAAAATGTTATATCCTTTAGAATGAATAGTTATATCATTTAGTTTGTAAGATTATGCCCTGTAGGATGAAGAATTATATCCTTTAATGCATTAAATTATGTCTTTTGAATTATATTTTGTATCTATAAGTGGTTCGTTAGTCCTTTGGATCACGTAACTAAGATTCTAATACAAGAAATTTCTCTCTTTACCCTTTCTATATTATTTATATTATTTATATTTTCAATATTTATAACAGATAAATAAAACTTAAACTAAGACAGATTATAAAAAAAAAAAAAAAAAAAAATCAACAGATAACCACTAAAATACTTTAAACTAATGAAAACGACTGATTGACTCTATAAATATATATAAAAAAAAAAAAATAACAAGGACTACAATTAATCTTTGACTTAATGTTATAGCCACAGTGTCAATACTACTATTAGTTTTTTTGTTATGGGATAGGGTAAGATACTTATTCTTTACATGAATGGACTAATAACTCAAAAATATACCGGCGGCACCATACATCCGAAATAGGAAAAAACAAACGCCGAGGTATAATTACAAAAATATATATCAATTAGAAATCTGAAATCTTGTTACTATGTTCCAAAAATTACTATCCGGCTTTTACGAAAGACACGAATGAAGAATCTATTAAAATATGTGAAAAATTCAACTGCAAGACTCTACCTCTGATGAATTTATGGGGGAATTTGTTCGCAACAAAAATATGTAAAGAAAAGATACAAGCATTGCCTTTTGTTTTTAATTTTAAGTAGTTCCTTTCTTTCATAATTATGTGTCACTCTATTCTTATCAAATAGTGGAATTATCAATAATTACGCATCCATATCATCCTTTGCCAAACCAAATCAAAATATTACTAGACATTGTTTGACAAACACGCCATACTCGAAGGTCTTACATCAACAAACACCATACACATTTTATATAAGAGTGTTAATATAATGAACATAAAAGACAAATTGGACTATAAATTTAAGAGGATTTATTTGGTCGAAATTTATACAAGTAGCATAAACATAATTATTGCGATAAGTCTCCAGCCTTTTTTTTTCTCTTGCGAACCGTACGCTCTGTAGAACTGAGCTAAAATGTGGAACGAAATACCTTTAAACATTTGATCGTCTAGGGAAAAAAGAAATTACGGGATGTTGTCTCTCTAAAGCAAGAGGTTACAACAATACTTAGCAATGCTGAATTCATTGAGGTCGGATGTACGTACTGTGTATCCTCCAGCTGCCCCTTCTGAAACACTTGCAATTTGGCACCAGTCAAAGTGTAAATGGATCTTATGGCGCCAAGAATAATACAATGATTTGAGAGAACCGGATTTGCCAATGTCACGCGTATAATCGATAACTATCCAGAAACATTCGGAGGAAAATTTGTCGTTTTCCGCATGTGAGGATGCCATTGGCTTAACGTCGGGAGAGGCCCTACAGAATTGAATTGCAGAGAAGAGATAGAAAAACATAAACCTTTCACATTCAATTGTACCTTCTAATACTATCTCCCGCAAACACCTTATGTAATTTTATGAGAGCCTAAATATTCGACAAAACATCCCTCTCCAAGAACGAGAAAATACCGCACACGAAAAAAAAATAGATACAAGAGATAATAACTTTGAAAAAAAAAAAAAAAAAAAAAGCAATTCCTTGATTTTATAGCCATCAAACTACTTATAGTGAATCTATCAGAATGACTAAATAAAATAACCGCGGCAAAATTGAAAAACGATATAATTAAATTTAGAAAACTGAAATCTTGACTAGTATATTTAAATACAAATAGTTCATAAATAGTAATTCAACTATTGGATTGAATTTGTCGCACAAATTAATAGTAACAGCATTTTTTTTTTTTAATTAGAGTTCTTTCATTTATTTCCTTATTCACAAAGTGATTATCATTAGCAAAATCCATCATTGCCAACCAATCAAAAACTACATTGTTGACATAAGCCATACAAGGTCTAATCAACAAACATAATTTTAAAGAGTAAATAAACATAAAGACAATGAACTAAATAACAGAGGAATGTCAAATTTTACAAGGCACAAATATTCATGCCAGTTTGTTTTTGGACCTACTAGACTGAGCTCGGAACGAAAATTTAACATTGATGTCTGGGAAATAGGAGTTGCTCAAAGAATATCACAAACTTACAATGCTGAATTTGTCGATGCGTACTGTGTATCTCCAGCTGCCTTCTGAAACAACTTGCAATTTGGCAGTAGAGTATATCTTATGGCAAAGAATAATACAAGATTTGGCCATTCCAGTCAGGTGTACTAACTACGAGAACATTCGGAGGAAATTGTTCGCATATGCCATTGGCTTAACGTCGGGATGAGGCTACAGATTGAATTGAAAAGAGAAGAAAAACATAAATTCACATCATTTTCACATTCCGCAAACCTATGAATTTTATAAAATCGAACCAACCCCTCTCCCAAAACGAGAAAAAGCGAAAACGAACAAAAGAATTTGCCAAGAGTAGGAAACTACTGACCACTGCTGAGAAAGTTACTATATTTGGCTTCAACTCAGGGGCTTCAAATCGGATAAAAGCACCCTTGTTACCCATCTGAAAAGTGCAATATACAAGAAACAATTAACATAATATTCCCATAAACTAACAGCATTGAACCAAGTGTCAGTAATTTCTACATAAAAGATAAAAAGAGTACAGTTTAGTAACTAAATAAAAGATATAGGAGTAAATATCAGTAATTTAACAGAAAAATGAACCAAGTGTCTATCTATACAGTAACAGCATTTAATTAATCACAAGGATTAGCTAATTAGTTGACGTAGTCAGTATACTCTTGTAAGAGTAGGGGCACAAACTTTTGGGCCTTTTAAGTTTTGATTTAAATGAGCTTTACCTTGCTTAACAGATAATCAATTGCCATCAATGGAGAATCCTTTTTCATTTCAAATTGAAAATTGAACTGCTTGAATTTGCATTAATGAAACAATTAATTTGATACACTATAGACTATAGCGGTAGATTCTTTTACTTTTAGGCAATTAAGGGGATCCTTCCATTCTATTCTCTCATCCATGCTGATAGATAGGAGATATGAAATCTACGGCTCCCAACAGAGCAGGATGATCAACACTAGCATATTCCCAAAAGCCAAAAATGAAAATTTACTAATCCATGCATAAACACCCATTTTCACCTCTTCTTCAAAAGTCCTATTACTTTTTATCAGAACTGCGCAAAATGCTTAAAGGGGCAAAGTAAGGTGTTCCCTGTCATTATTAAGATTTTATGTAGTTATATACCAGTCTATGCAGACAGCAATCTGAATTGATTTTTGCTAAACCCACATATTTCTCACCATTGGATATGCATGTTCTTATAACTCAAGTCCACTCAGAAAGCAGGAGCAAATGACAGACTAGTGCTTTCCAAACCAGGTTGGGCCATATTCATATCGAATTCCTACCAGACCCAGTTTTAGCCAAAAAATTAAGGGTAAAATATAGTTAGGTCCCTAAATTATATCCTAACTAAGACTTTCGTTTTCTCTACTTTCAAGAAATACCCATGGCATCTCTAACCTTTTGTTTCTGTCTCACTGTTGGGTCCCTAACTAAAAGGACCTTTTCGGACTGGAGGACCCGATGATTTGGCAGAAGCAAAAGATAGGACATCATAGTTATTTCTAAAAAGTAGGGGGATGAAGGTTAATTAGGATATGCTTTAAGAACCCAGATTTATTTTACCCAAAAATGATTAAACCAAACACGATCTAACAGTTAGTTGAGGAACTTGCCTAATTAAGTTTGATCCAGTTAGTGCAGGTTGAGTTGGTTCTGTCTGAAACACAAACCTGTTATTCACAGACAGACCTTGATACACACAACACAATCTCAATCATCTCACACAAAAAATACTTTCTTCCCTCATAATCAAAAAGACCCCTATCTATATCCCTTTAGAGCGATCCACTTCTTCTCTTTGACTTTCTGCACAAACTCCCTTTCTCTCTTTTTCTAAAACAGACAATAGCCAACTCCGAGCCAGAAAGCATTCAATGATATTTCAAATTGAGATTCAATCTAGCCTAATTTTCAAGTCGGTGCCTTGTATCAGTTGGTGTTGCCAGCAAATCTTGATACTGCCATGCATCAAGATCCCTTCTGGTTTCCTATGTGATTTCTCAAGTTTTTGGTTTTGCTCTCTAAATTCTAATGTTAATTTGAATCAAATAAAATAAATAGTTTTCGATATTATAATTAAAAAACTCAACCAGCCAAAATATGAACTTTAGGTGTTTAGATGATTTGAAACCGACTTAATTATGCATAAAACCCAATAAAGCCGGATTGGGTCAGTCCAGTAGACCCAAATTTTAACCAGTCCAATTCAGACTCAACCCGAGGTTTTCAAACACAGGCTGACAAGGTAAGAGGTTTAACCGGTGTATAACCACTGTTAAACCAAAATTAAATTAAACTAATATTTTAAATTATATAAACATGCAAAATAATTTTCAAAACCACAAATAAATTGAAAAAAGAAAATATATAAGCAATTTATTAAAATATCGTTCAATCAGATTTGGATACAATGAATTTCATAGGATTTAAAATTATAGGTCCAAACCCTAATGCCTCATTTTTTACCCCAATTAAAAAAGCTGAAACACCTAAAATGTAAAGCAGTCTGCCTGCTGGACCAGTTTCAGGTCAACCAGTTTGGTGATAACCGGGCCAGTTCCTTTCTATTCCAGGTTATATGGTATGAACAGACTGCAATTAGGCTGATTTGTGGTTAAACCAATTCAACCGGCTTACAATTGAAGCATTTGATAACCAACATTTTCTTATTTCTTTTTGGAGGCTGTCAATTTTGAACTCACATCACAGGTAGCTTCCCAAGGAAAAAAGAACTTTTGCAGGTGGCCCGTCTTCTACATATAATCTACCAAGGGAAGTTTTTTAAGAATCCTGCAAGTTTGCTTCAGCAATAATGCTACAGGAGTTCAGCACAAAACTAGGGGTGTAACTTGGATCGGAATATTCCTATCCAAATCGAAATTCCAAACCAAATGTTAATTTGGAATGCAATTTTGAAATACAAAATTTAAAATGGAATGCATTTTTTAAAATATTGATATATGGAATATGGAACGGAAACTAAAAATAAAATTTCATATTCCAATCCATATACCGAATTTTTATTTTATTATTCTTTAATTTATAATTATATATTAATAAAATTTCAAATAATTCCAATCCATATTACCGAATTTTAATTTTATTATTTCTTAATTTATAATTAATATATTAAAATAAAATATTAAATTAAAGATAGAATAAATATCTTTTAATTCTTCATATTTTTAGAGAAAAGCTTATATTTAATTCTAAAACTAACGTTAGTTAAACTAGAATAACAATTTCTTTATAACCCATCACACTCGCCTAATCAGTAAATCTAATATATACTAATCGTACTTGAACACTCATATTCTTTCAAGTTCTTTGTTGGGTTCTCGCCACAAATTAAGCGGAATATCAAAAAGTGTTATGGAAAATTGTCTTACTTATTTTATTAGATATAACCATGTGTTACGTATTGAAAATATTTTAGTATACCACATATAAAGAGACTTGCGGTCAACATAATTATATAATCATATAGCAAAGAAACCACTAGTACTTGCTGCGAGTTTAGCACTTGTTTTTAATGGGATTTGGTGACTAACACCTACTAAGATTGATACATCATAATACATAGAATGGATTATCTTCCATATTTGTTGATTGTTATAATAATAGAGGTATTTTTATTATTGAAATTATTTCAATAAACTGTTAGTATAATGCCTACGCAAACCTAAAGTTAGTATAGAGATGTTATTAAAAAGGTGAAGTATATTTACCTATCTAATAAATAGAGACTCAAAACATTTTGAGATATATTTACCAATGTTATACTGAGTCCGAAGTTTAATATTAATGATTATTTATTTTTACAATATCATTTAAATAATATATGTCTTTTTACAGCAGTATGTACTATATTAAAAATATGGTGCATTTAGTCCTTGTTTAAGTTAAAAATGACTCTTGACTACCAATCTTAAAAAATGTCATTAATATGTTAGATTTGCATTTGGTTTAAGAAATTTAAAGACTATCGAATCCAACCGAATTTTCAAATGGAATGGCTAAGATTGGAATAGAAAAATTTTAAATTCCAAAAAAATAATTTGGAATGGAATAGAATGCAATTCTTAAGAATTATTCCAAAATAATTCGGTAATTTGAGAACATGCACATTGAAAATGAGGGCAATCATCTTATTTCAACAAATTAACGCGTCCTCTAAATCAGACTCCACTCCTCCATAAGCATGAGAAACTACCCTGTGTAAGCAATTACCTTATTTATTGCAAGAGCTGAAAACCGACTGCGATCTAAATCACACATTTCCCTTAAAAAATGTCATAATATGTTAGATTTGCATTTGGTTAAGAAATTTAAAACTATCGAATTCCAAACCGAATTTCAATGGAATGGTATGGAATAAAATTTTAAATTCCAAAAAATATTTGGAATGGAATAGAATGCAATTTCAAATTCCAAAATATTTTGGAACAGAATTGAAATGAGGGTCATTTCATTTCATACCGTCCAAATCCCCTAGCAAAAACCCCTGAATCTTCCTTATTTTTCAAGCTGAAAAGCTGCGATCTAAATCACACCTTCCCCAATGTGATGTGTTCAAGCTCTAAAACATCAAATAATTCCATCCTGCTTTGTGTGTGCGCGCGCATGTATCTGAGAGAGAGAGGGTGAGAGAAGCAGATTCGTTGAAGAAAGAAATGTTGTCTTTTGGAGAAAGATGGACTTGGATATCAAGGAGATAAAATAGGCATATAATGAGGACACAGGCATCTCTTAAGAATGGTTAAAATCAGATAACCTAGTACATAACTGAAAATTACTGTCAGGCTTGGCTTCCACCAAGCTCTTTCATTCTCATTTCAACTGTTGCAAATTTCGGATAAAAAATTAAATATAATTCTTTTTTTCTCTACAGTTTTACTAACTTTTAACTTCCAAGAAGAAGATGATCCAACTAAACCTACCCACTTGGACAGTTGTACCAGGAACTACCATGTTCCCGTGCAACACACCATGGATTCTACATTCTAGGTAACATTGCTCTTGACAGTAACCAATTAGCAACATGGATATATGAATAGCTATTTGTTCCACTATCGTATCAAGTCCAAAAACACTTGTAAATCCAAATTCATAATCAACCAGCAAAACTTGCACATCTAGCTGTAGCACATTTAAAAGCAGTGTAAAAGTTTGATTACCTGATCACAATAATTTGGAGCAGAGAAAACAGTAATAAGTTTACCATCATGCTCAATCTCATAACCTTCTTCTTTTACTTCGTGAGACCGCACAACTAAATCTGCCAGTTACATAATTGAGTAATGCATCAGAAAAGACCAATATAGAACCAAGAAAAATATTGATGCCTGGTATTTACCTAGATTATTTTCTTGCAAAAATCTTTTTGTCACATCTCCACCAAAAGAAAGGCCTACACCTCGCTTGCTAGGACCTCTTCCAGGCAAAGGCTGTGGGTCACTCCACAGCAATTCACACATCAAACCTGACATAGAAAATGAAATATCAGAAACAATTTTATGAGTCATTAAGAAAAATAGCCATGTATTCCTACTCACAAACATACATATATTCATCATGCTGCATAGCGTGTAGAGAATTGATAAAAAAAAAATGGAATGACTCTTGAAGTTAAAATTGATGACAACAATAATACATGTCATTCCAGTGAACATTTTCTTGCGACAAAGATAAAATACTCCAAAGGAGGCTGGAAAAGAAAAAATCTTGTTAGCAATTTAAAATGATAACTTACCATAATAAGGAAAAGATGAGAAAATATTAAGATTATCTGTACGCTTTCCCCCAAAGAGTATAGAAGTAGTATCAAGAAACAGCACAAAAAAGGGCATCGTATAGTTCTTATGTTTAACTTGCTTTGTTAACATGATATGCTGATAAAACTTATAAGCTCAGCAAGATAAGCCATCGTAGGACTTTACAGATAGAAGTTAACGAAAACTACTATTATTTGAATCCATATACACTCTCTGGACAAATGTGCAGTGAGAGAAAAAGAACAAAAAGTATCACATCAATCCAGGGGAATTATTCTTATAAACATGATGAAAATTCAGTTTTGAACAATAAAAAACCAAAAACTAGAAACTCAATTATCACAACAGATGTGCATATCATTAATCAGAAACTAGAAACTTGAGACAACTGGCTTCATGTAACTGCCACCAGAAATGGTACATACCAAGACAATGATACTACTGGCAGAAGGATCCAATGAACACAAAAAATTATAAATTTAATTTAAGAAAACAAAAAATGCACAGCATACCTTCCTCAGGTGGCTCACAAAACCGATCAATTGCCCTAATGTCGGATAGTTTCACGCCATCAACACTAAAAAGACCACCATGAACTACAAATACCTTCTCATTTATCACATGAGCCAAAGGTAAACAGCAAAAGACTTCTGCAAAGAGTTCCACAAATGTCTCATTCAATTTGGATCGCACCTCGCCCTCAAAACCATATATCTTGTTCATACTCTTGCTTTCATGGTTTCCTCTAGAAAGATATATGGCTGAAAAATTGAAAAATGAAAAAAAGAAAAGGAATATATCTTGTTCAGACTCTTCTATATCTTCAGAAAGAGATCAATGAAAAAATTATTCAGCAATCCGAAGAAACAATAAGGCACACCTGATGGACACATGCACTTAAATGCAAACAATGTGAGGATGACCTCCACAGAAAATGATCCTCTATCCACAAAATCACCATTGAACAGATATGGGTTTTCTTCGGAAGGAAGACCATTCAGCTCGAAAATGTTTAACAGATCATAGAACTGCAAGCATAATAAAACAAGAGTGAATCACGTATAATTGAAGTAGAAAAAGAAGAAAAGTTAATCAATACTAAACAGTTTGGAACAAGAAGATATTTTTCAACTAACATGCAACAAATAAAACAATGTAGCTACCAATAAAGTGTAAGAAAGCAAGATAACAATATGCATTGAGATAAATTGAAAGAAAAACATTTCATCATTAAAACACATTGGAGAAAGATAGGCCAAATACAAAAATTGCCTGATTGAAGCTTGTCTAGCCTATGCTTTGCAAGCCTACAAAAGGTATGGCATTAGAGAAAGGGGAAAGGGGCTAAAACCAAAGCTAAGGAGCGGACAACTGCGAGACTAGGAGAATAGGAAAGACTTGGTATATAATCCATGCCTTTGTTCCAGCTATAGTCCATTAGCAAGCGAGTAGGGGAACCGTTCCTTCCGTTTAGTAAGGGAATACAAGCATTATGGGGAGTTTTTAAATAGGAATATGAATATGACTCAACTTGCACCAAAAAGTCTTATGACCCCCTTTACTTTCAAAATGACGTTGTGGCCCCCTGTATTTTTACTTTTTGTAAACCATACACACCTAAACCGAGCGAAAAATATTAAGTTGCGGTGACGTGGGTTAACGGCAATACAGATGGCAATTATGGTGCCATGCTGAATGCCATGTCACTTTAATGGGTTTAGATTTTCTCTCTCTAACTCAAATTATTGGCAATCGTAACTTTATTGAGAAATTGAATGGCCTCAACGCCACCTATCACTGCAACCAAAACCCATCATCAAAACCACCCTTATCCACAAAACCATTTACAAAACCACCATCAAAGCCGCCACCACGATCCTAACCTCATTGGACTAACCAAAATGTCTCTCTTGCTAAACATCCTCTCTCTTCTCGCCTCGCAATGTAACAAAGGCAGGGGCTTCTGCCATCACCACCGTCCACCCAAAATCCCAAACTTCCTTCTTTCTCCTGTCTACAATCCTCAAAATCTGAGCTCACAGATAATTTCACAAGTCACCACTCCACCCGATTTGTGTCAAGGCTTTATTTCGGGCTCTCAAAAACCAGTATGGGCACTCGCCATACCTCAGTTAAGGAGGAAGCTTTGCAGCAGGCGGTAATGTACGAGAAAGACGACAAAGCCTTGAGGATGTGTTACTCAATTTTGAGTCTCAATTTTGTGGCATAACAAAAGATTTTTTTAGGAATTTTCCTTTTCTTCATACTGGTTTTGGGTTTGGCAGTGCCATTACTATTGTTCAAAATGAAACTTTGAAGTTTTGAACGAGATGGGTATTTGGGATTGAAGAAAAGGAAGTGGGATTTAATCGAGGAAGAGAAAAAGCAGTAGGTTGCCACGTAAGATGCTCTTATGTGACCAACTCGCTCATTTCACGCATGTATTTCACATCCCATTTTTTAACGTGGCCAGGCGTGCATAAATTACAAAAAAATAAGTTTAGGGAGCCACAAAGGTCATTTCTAAAGTATAAGAGGCCAGAAGACTTTTATGTGTAAGTTTAGGGGGCAATTGATGTATTCGGCCGAGAAAGATAACATAATAAAGTTATGACAGAACTGAATAAATGTAACAAGACAGAAGAGTAACAAGAGATTATCTGATAGATTACATTACAATATTGATAATTCATATTTTATTTTCCAAATTCAAAATATAAAAATGAATGCCATAAACATCAAACCACAAGATGTAGTGGTTACAATTAATTCATGCCCATCTCTTATTTTGAGCAGAAACAAAAGAAATTTCCATTTCATCCTTAGCCAAATCACCCTAATCACATTAACCATACCAAATTGTATCTCTATATGCTCTTCCACTGACAGCAACAAAACTTGCTAAAAGCTAGGATCCTTTGGCTCTAATACCAAAATGACACCAGAAAATTAAAGCATATAAAGTCAGAGACTGATACAACTAAAAAAGGCAGAATAAAATTTTATTAAAGAGATTCTTGAAGGTTTTGTAGGATAATCCTCTTCATTTAAGGATTGTAAGATTTATGGCATTTTTATACATAAAAATGAAATACGCCCTCTCCCTCCCAGTTTTCCTTCTCACTTGAATACTTTACAGGTTGTTTGTAGTTATCTTATCCTTCAACAATTCAAATAACTATTATTTATTGTTATTCTAACAATTTAGCAACCTTTGGGTAAAGCTTCTGTTTGTTCATTAAATGCATATTCATACTTCTATTACAATGCAGACACAGTAGATAACTTCAGCATGTAACTAACCACCACATGGAGTTTGGAGGTCCAATTCAGCAATTGCATGTAAAAGCAAGCACATTCTGGCCTCAAAATGCTTAAGTAATGCGATTACCTGACCATGAACGTCACCACAAACAGTGAAATGCTTCCCATCAGGGACATTTATATCCACTAAAGAGGGCATAGCTCGTAACATTTCTCTTGTCTGTAACACTATCTGGAACGCATATCTGAGGCATTGCCACAAGGTTTAAAGTAAAAGCATTAGATTCACCTTATTGCATAAACTAAATTCATAATTATCTCTGCTAATCATACCTTTTATGCAAGCACTTCTGATTCTTGAAGTCTTCCATCATTTTCTTGACAAAATCTAAAGTAACAGTGTCTCCCTCTATCCTTGCACCCAAGTAGTGTGGCTCCACATCTAGCATGGAAACAGAAAAGCAATTTCAGTGCAAATAAAATATTATTTAAAAATAAATAACTAATATGCAAAGAAAGGGACACCAGGAGAAAGAGAGAGAGAGAGAGAGAGATACAGAAGAATAAGCCATCAATACATTAATGAAGCATCAAAATACAAGTGTCATGCAAACACATTCCCCTCTGAGGTTTTTGACAAAACATTAACATCAAGATCTCAGATAGTTTCTAGAATTCCACATCCTTTCTCTCTCTTTATCCATTAACATCTACTAATTTTCATTTGTAGTCTTTTTGTTTCATAATTGATCCCGAATATGATAGATATGCATTCACATTGTGCCAACAGAGCTTTTCAGAAGACATTCCAAATAAAGGCAAATGCTTTTTCTTCATTTTTCTTTGATTAGCCAAAAAATTGAATGTTTAAAAAACAGCTAGATTATAAGACTAAATTGTGACCGGAACACTTTAGTAACCCTCAGCTCAAACCTAGGTCAAGTATTTGTCTCTTGGTAAAGACACCACTACCCATCCAGTCACCCCACCAACATGCCCCTAAGACCACCAGTATCACCATCAGTACTGCCACCACCATTGCGGCTGTTTCCCTTCCTACCAAGAATACAGCTGCTGCCACAATTGCTGCTGCTACTGGTGCTATGGCCACTTGGGTGGGCACAGATGATGAACTGGGGCCAGTCCCTATTATGATAATGCAGAGTACAATTAATACTCACCATGAGTATATTTTTTTATTAAGAGACAAACAGAAAAAAATATGAACATAATGGTATAAGGCGCAGTGGCAAACTAGGCATATACAAATTTATATCTAGGACTTGCTCCAAAATTCAAAACTATACCAGTATTGGTCAACACTCAGACATTCTGCATTTAACACGCAGATGGAGTATCAAAAATCATATGGATTGCATGCAAACTTATGAAGACACTTTGAAAAGAACAAGAATCATCATGCTCAAAGAGACCCGCAATAGAGAGACCACAGAGGATTGGTGCCCAAAGAATCTGATTCACCAAAATTAGAGTGAAACCACCACCAATAGTAACTAACAAACCCCCTGCAAATTTTAAAATGAAGGAAACGATAATGAGGGAAATGGGGCACTCGAAACAGAGACAAAGCCCATGTCCTAATTCCTAATAGCATGACCATGTTTAGAGCTATTCAGATGTCACAACAGAAGATAGTTTGATATTATTCAAAGAACTTTTGGGAATAAAGAATTTGTTTCTGGTTTGCATTTGACTTTTTTAGACCATAAAGCTCATTAGCCTTGTGGATAGTGTTTACAAATAGCTGGCTCAAGCGCTTGCAGTAATTTAAGTTCATTCACAGTGAAATTTGACCTAGTATGTCAGTCTTCACATATAACTCCTCACACAATCTGTCAAACAACCACCAGAGTTCAATGATCACAAGTTAGTGTGCTTTGAGAAATGAATACAAACTCTCATTTTTTTCTTAATGTGAAAGGGGAATTCAATGCTATTGTAAATTGGAAATGCAGACCATTATGATATATGTTTTCACAGGGACGAACTTCAGAGTTAATTGGAGAAATTGATGAGGAAGTGTATAACTTCAACCAGATAATATGCCAGCATAAATGGCTCACCAGTAAGATATTTTTCAGCCACTAGAGGCTTATGGCAAGCAATCCTCTTTCTCCTATTATTTATCTTTCCAAAGCGAGTTATTTGCCTAATATAAGAAAGGTAAGCTTAAGCATTGGGTAGATTGAATATGGAAGTCTTTTATTTCTCATTTTCAATCTATTTACAGTATTAATATCTCTTACAGGCGAAGATACGAATGCTCAGGCTTCTGGCTACACAGGCATGTGGGATACTAAACTTCCTATTTGTGTCTCTTACTAAGAGCAAAAAAACAAATGGGACAACTCTCTCTCTCCCACAACTAAGGATATGATGTCATTTCCCTTTTTCATATCTTTTTCCAAGCAAGAGGTATTGTTTTCTCACCTTTTTATGATGTTATTTGTCCTAAAAAAACATTCTAGAGTGAAGGTGAGTTTGGAAAGAAGACAACCAGCTATGGTTATGTACTACTTGATCCAATAACTGTCCCAACAGAAATACCACCTTATTTTTGCTCAATTTGATGGATCAAGCAATACATTGTAGATATATACACAGATATTATGAATAAATAAGATACTTATGGGTCCAAAAGTGCTCTAATTGACCAAGTGGAACCAGTATGGGTCCCCAACTTGCAAGCTCTTCATCTTCTCAAAAGGCTTCAACCCATCCACAATCCAAGCAAACAGCAAATAGCTTGACAAATTTAATTCAGAACTGATATTGGAGGGAAAAGAAATTAGAATTTGCAGAAGAAAAAGGGCTTGGGGACTTAGAAGGCCTGAGCAACCAAGGAGAGAAGAAAAGAGAAAAAATCAATCAAGATCTGGACAAACGAAGCTAAAAGAGAAATTCCAATACTCAATCAATAGTTCTTAATGCGTGAAACAGTGCCTTCTGTATAGTGTACCGCAGGATATCCTTAAATAAAATAAAGTTTCATAAATAAGACATGCACAAAATAAAATGCCTAAATTCATTATAATGTCAAACTAGAATTTATTATAATTTAACAAAAGGCTCTCTGATGCCTAGAATAAAAATTAAAAAAAAAAAACCAAATTTATCGAGTCATTATGCAATAAATACTTAAACTAACACAATAAACTTCTTGAGGCAAATGAGAATATTCATTTGTCAATGAATCCTCGGATAGTAAATGAACAAAGGTTAAATTCTTCAGTAAATAGATCATCCAAAAACAAAAAAGCAGAAGAATCAATAAGAAGCATATGGATATTAAGACCTCAAAACAGAGAACGACCAGAATAAAAATTCTTCATTTAAAAAAATTTAAATATAATAGAGAGAACCAGTTAAATTTTAATTCAGATACTCTCATTTAAAAGAATAGCATGTCGAAGTGTGTCTGGCCTATTTGTGCAGCCATCAAAAGATTTTATCTGTAGCCCGTAAAAAATAACAAAATAATTCAACTCCACAAAGCTTTTGACATTCCCATTTCATTTCATTTCAGATAATGACCCTTCGGTTCAAGGGTTCTTACTTTTCACTTAAAGTTAATGGTATACTGCATTCAGACACCAGATACAAATCTTACAGCTTCTATTCTGATGATTTGTTATTAAAAAGTTTGTTCATATTAAGTTCAGCAAAGAAACCACATTTCTCAGACACTACTTAAAGCATCTTGAACCTCAAATCCCCAGCAGATGAAAAATATATTCTGATTCTCTCTAACTAGCCAATAGTTTGCTTTGGCAAATGGTCTTGTATAAACACTAAAACTAATATTTAAATATTTAAAAAATCCAAAGAAACACTGAAGACAAAAATAAATTAAGCTCAAGAAAACAAATACCTATATTGCGAAAATCAATAGAATCAGCTACTGATCGCCTTTCAGACTCTGGTACTGCAATTGCCTCTTCAAACTTAAGCTTCATTACAGCCTTCTCACATTCTTTTAGTTTCTTGGCAGCATCAGGATCATTTGGACAGAGTTTCTTGACCTAAATTAAGCATATGACACATAAGAACCATGTTCTGGCACATTAGAGTATAACTTTTGACTGAAATACACAAAATACTTTCACATCTTGCTAAAACAAGGGTTCCCCAAATACACGGCCAAAAAAAAGCACAAGCAATGCAAGACAATAAAAAAAAGCAAGCCACTGGTAAAAAAATTATATATAGTATCAATACAAAGCATTTTCTGAATACAAACAATATGGTAATTTTACAAAACTAATGGAGACCTCCTATGGTACCTTGGCTATTTTCCCTGTCGGAAAACCTTTTTTCTCCTTATATAGCTATCATCATGCATCAGGTTACAATTTGTTGAGAAGAAATACAAAGATATTCATGTCCCTGCTCTAAGCCATCTGGGAGATAAAAAAAATTTAATGGCCACAACCTTTTGGGCAATATTCACTCAGTAAATTGCGCAAAGGCTTCTAATTCTGCGAATTGTGTCCAGTGAGTGCATCCCTTTCCCTCTTGAGGGCCTTAACCCCGTCTTCGATAATGTAAATTTATAATTAAGTAACAATATACTATGGCAGCAACAGACATTAAGCCAGCTTCTCTAGCTTTGAACTTTGAATAAAATAAATTTTTGAACAAAATGTTTGCAGCCTGCAGTATATGGTATTATTGTGGCTTGACATTTTAATGCTACATTATCCCATTGATTTCATCAAAACTAGCAATCATCTAAACACATAAAATCTGGAATGAAATCTTGCAAAAGGGTGAACCAAAACTTAAAACTAAACTATAATGGCCAATAAGCCAATAAAAAATATTCCACGTTTCTGACAAATGAATGTAAGCCAGACGTAATAGAGACAACGTCGATGCCTTCAGCCATTTCTAACAAGAGAGGAAGGTCAGTCAAACCCAGTGGGCCAGAAGAAGCTAAAGTTCACCCCACAGTTCCCCAAAGGTCCTATACCATCTGAGCTGCTTCAGTGGACTGAGCAGCCTAGCACAAACCTAAGAAAGTTGGAATATTTTTAGGGGGAAATAACTACCTCATTTAAGTTCAGTCAACAAGATCCCAAAAAAAGTAACAAGCTGACCTTATAAAAATGAACAAACAACCCTTTCAGACATGACTACCATTTTCCAACCAATCAAGCACCAATATTTCTTTCCATAAAGCAGATTTCACCAAATGTCAAATCAGAACAAACAAATATAGTAAACATTATTGTCCTCGTTTCAAGAATGGTACCTAATTGTGAGTTAAGCATAGAATAGGACTTGTTTAATTCAACCAAAAGCGATTATGCTTGTTGCTTGCTTCCCTCCATGGAGAAACAAGGTAGAAAATTACTAGGCAACCCTATGGAAAACATAAAATAAATTACCTAAGTACCTTGTGAATAAAATGCTTAAAAGAGGAATTATAGTTGTGAAGGGATCCTTCTCTCCATCATTTAATTTTGGATCGTGATTCGGACAGAACAAACATGCATCAATGACAATGGAGAATATTTGTACTGCATCAGTCAGTCGTCATTCTCCATTTTAGCTCCACTCTTCAAGAAACAACCACCTTTTGCCTCAACTTTATGATGCATTATCATGGTAGGTTGTTTTTTTTTTTTTTTGAATATTGGTAGAAGGGGATTTGAACCTAGTCCCAGATTCTACTTATACAGAGAAAAAAAAGAAAGATAAGCCAGTGAAATATGACTACGAAGTGTACGACAAAGCACACTTGGTTTGTCCTAGTTATATATGCACTTACTACCAGGTTATACCTATGAGTGCCATTATCATGGTAATTTTGGCATCTAATTGATGGTGGCAAGTTTAGGTCTTGTTTACTTGTAGAAAACAGAGCAAGTTTTCTGGATCCAAGAATACAAGAAAAATTTTGTTGTATTCAAATGAGATATTTTTCCAACTATCAAAATGGAAACTAGTTTCCTGTTTTCTAGTATTATAACTAATACTTAGAAAACAATCTTTTTTTGCGTTTTTCATTGTTTTCTTTTGTATCAAGATATTGTTTCTCATCTGGAAAACACAAAAATGTCCTATTTGTTTCCTTTATTTTAATGATAAATGGTTGGGTTTCAAAAACCCAGCGGCAACACCTTTCGTTTTGTTTTAATTACTGTCCCACTAACATACTATATCAAGATTGATGGCCAGGGTCCAATCCTAGCATCAATCCTTATGTTTTTTAAGTCTTTTTCTGTCGCTTTGGTTTTCTCTTGTTTTCATTTTTTTTTTCATCTTATTCTATTTACACTATTTGTATCCATTTTTTATTTATTGCTTTCTTAATCACTTTAGCATCATGCTGTTTATTTTTATTATTTTTTTTTTTCTTTATTTCGCATTATTTTTTCATAATTTTTATTTTTCTAATAATAGTAGTTTTATCATTTTCTATTTTTATTTTATGATGGATTTAACTCTAAATCAATCACAATATCTACAAATAAAATAAAATAAAATATATTTTTCTCTGTATAACATAGGATAAATATAACAATAGTCCCTTAACTTAGGACCAAATTCTATTATCATCACAAAACATCAATTTGTTACAATTTGGTCACTTAACTACAGATTTTCTTCCAATTATATCTAACAAAATATGTAACTTGCAATTTCAACCAATAAATTTGTATCGACTCAACATATGTTCGATATCACTGGAATCAAGGGGTTATCAGTTTTCTTTTCTACCCAACCTCACCACCTAAAGTTCACTGAAGAGTGAGAATTGAGGGAAGATAAATCAAAACTTATCAATCTCAATTCTCTCATATTTTGGTGACATCCACCACTAGTGACCTCGCGACATTTCTATGCATATAATGGGTATCCTTTCTTCCTCCATTAATCATTAAAATTAGATTACTTATAGTTGATTGCAACAAAAATAAACTTAAGTCATCAAATTGTATAAATTATTAACTTAAGTGACAAAATCATAACAAGTCAATGTTATGAGAGCACAAAAAATATTAACTTAAGTGACAAAATCATAACAAATCAATGTTTTATGAGCACAATAAAATTGTCCTAGGTTAACTAACCACTAGTGCAATTTAGCATAACATAACATATATTAACTAATAACCATAGTTATTAATGAAGCAAGATGCATCAAAGTGCAATAGGATATTAAAGCCTAGGAGCAAGGCATAGGCACACACCCAAGCAACATGAAGTGCAGAGCATATAAAGACACAATACATAGGAGAAGTACTAATAATGCTAACATAAAAGGATTAAAATTCTAACATCAATAATTTTGAAATCCAAACAAAAATATTAGTATGTTTCCACTTCTACAACAAGAATGGAGCCTTAATCCCAAACTAACTGGTTCAGCTATGTAGATCCTTTGTTTCAATTTCCACTCTGTGCATAACTAAATCTATACTAATGCTAAGATGTAGTAGGCTTTCTAAGACAACTTCACTCCAAGTGCTCCTAGGTCTAACTCTTACCCCGCCATTAATGCATCAAACTCAGAAACCAAGACATATGGGAGTCTATGTTGGACATAACTTTCACCCCAGTACATGCTACTTGCACCTTTTCTCAAATGTGGTCATTTCTAATCTTGCCCAATCTTGTGATCATGTATCCATCTTAATATCCACATTTCTGCAACATTCATCTTATGAATTTGTTGGAGTTTTGAGGGCCAATCATTCACACTCGTATAAGATCACTGGTCTTACCACCATTCTATAGAACTTGCCTTTCACTTTGTTATCATCCTATCGTATAGCATATCTGTAATATTCCTCCATTTTATCTATCTTATTCTAATTCTATGGGCTACACCTTCATTTATCATGCTATCCTTTCTGAAATACAAAAACATGATATCTAAATTTATCGCATTTAAGCACCACAATACTATCCAATCTCACCTTGCCTCCACTCTCCTTATAGGGGCTAAACTCGTTCACATGTATTTTGTCTTATTTTTTCTTAACCTACAATCCTTACTCTCAAGAGTACTACTCTGCAGTTCTAACTTTTGGCTTACTCTTTCACTAGTTTCTTCAATTAAAACAATATCATCCACAAATTCACCATAGAACTTCATCTTCTATACTATTAGTTAGCTCATCCATAACTAAGGTAAACAAGTATGGGCTCAAGGAAGATCCCTAAGGTAGTCCTACAACTATGGGAAACTCCTTTGTATCCCCTCTCACTATTCTTACACTAGATTACACCTTAATACATATCTTTAACAGCATTTATATATTTGACATCAATTCCTCTTTCTCCAACACCCACCAAAGGATGTGTATGTGCAATGCATAATCTTCTCATAATGACAACCAATTGATGTATAATACGTAATTAACTTTCTAGCCATCCTTCTAGTCAATCTGCTAACCTCAAAAACAAATTCTTCTATTCCAATTGTCCCACTACTCAATTCCTTTACTATATACCTCAACAATGAGAATATAAGTGAACTCTAGTGATATGACACAAAAAAAAAAAATATGTCAATAGATAACTAATAGAAAGGATATAATTGAAAAAAGATTTACTTTTACCAAATCTCCAAACAGGTAGTGTTCAAAAAATTAACTCAGGAGACAACCAACTAATTTAAAACAATTTCACCAGACAGTTAGTGAAATCAATATCGCCAATGATCACCTAATTTCGGCTTGTCACTGAAAAATCATTCATCTTTAATTTGTTGTAAAAAACATCGTGAGTACATTTACGTATTTGACTAGATTTTTGACATGACAGATAGCCAAATTGGAAACTTCATGGCCCATATTTAATAACATGATACTATTACATAAAAATCTAAAAATGAATTTTTAATGAAATTTAGCAATATTGACCTTAATATTGTACAACTTAAACTTTGGGTATTTTATGTGACAAATCGAAGTTTAATGATTCAATGTCATATTCAGTGGTTATAAATGAAAAATAATTTAGAATTGAGATTTGGTTGAGTTGAGTACATTGCAACTTCTACTCTTTACTTCAATGAATACAAAGAAAGATAATGAGGAGTAATTATAGTGAGGCAATGTTGCATCTACATGGTGCCCTTGAAAGAATGAAGATAAGGCATGAGTGTACTAAGCGAAATAAAATAGTAAACCATTTGTTCTAAGGAAAGGAATCAACTTAAGTGAAGAATATGAGAAGATGTATGAAGCCCATGTCAAGGTAATATAGTCCAAGAAGAGAGAAAGAATGTATGGAGAATGAGAGGTTTGGAAAAATAACCCCCCCCCCCCCCCCCGCCCCCCCAAAAAAAAAAAAAAAAAAAAAAAAAAAAAAAAAAAAGAGAAAGAAGTACGGCGATAACAGAGGAAATCGAGGAGATCATAAGATCATAATCCAGGAAGGTGAAGTCCAAAAATTACTTTGGTTAAGAACAAATAGAAAAAAAACTTGGGTCCAAAAGAACTCATGATTAGCACTTAGGCCAACTAAGAAAGGTCAAAAAGAGGTAGGCTCTCCTTAATAAGCCTTACTTCGGCCCATCAGACCAAAACTCTCTAACTCATCCCATTATCATGAAATTGGAAAATCTTACCTCCAATTTATAAATAATCTCATTTTATCCATATCTTCAACCAACCAATGTTTATGAATCATAGTTTCTCCAAATAATGGATACATAGATGAGTAAATACATACATAATTATATTTGAAAAATAGAAATACAAAATAGCATTAATAAATCTAAAATAAGAACAACAGTATCCCAAATAGCCATTGATGTTTAGCTATAGAACTTGAATTGTCCAATTATTCCAAAAAGTGAATTTTTAATTCAATGGATGCATCATGCTTGTCTTTAATAATCCAAGGAATGTCAACTTAATTCTAAAATTCTGCTCTAATTGGCAAACCAAATACATAATTATTTCCCATGTTTATACACATTCTAGTTAAATCGGTTTTTCTTATGTTTGTAGAAGGTCAGAAGATGCAGCTGTCAAAATTTGTTAGGCGTAAGCAAAACAAGTGAAGTGATTCTCCAATTGAGATGGCTTATACAGAATTTCGAAATTCAATCAGCAAAAGTTCAGTATCATCAACCAGATAAAACTCAAATCTAATAAAATGCATCACACCTATTGTTTAGCTACTTACACTAAAAGTCCTGGAAGAGCAAATTCAAAATAATTGAAGAAAAAAAAAAATCACAAAGATAAAACAACAAAATCACAATGATATATGATCTAAGCATAAAAAACACCTGTTGGAAGTCCTTAAGTGCTTCTTTGAATTTTCCCATAGCAAGATATGCAGCACCCCGCCTGTAATAACCCTGTTTTGATTAAAAAATACTATGAGGACAAATGCACATAGATGCAAAAGCATAATCACGCAAAAAAAACTAGGGAAGTAATGAATGCCTTTGAATATTTAGGATCAATTTCAATAGCCTTTGAAGAATCCTGTATTGCACTGCCATACTCCTCCAATTTAGTATGTGCAAATGCACGATTTGCCCAGTAAACAGCATTCTCACTGTTCAACTCAATCGCCTGTGAGTATAGATCAATAGCCTGACTATACTTGTGTGCTGTAAATCAAATTGATAAGAATTAGCTCAACACACTGAAACAGCACTGTTTCTAATTGCAGGCCAAACCAAAAACTTCTCCGGCAAGTTTGGTTCACTGGGAAATGGAATCAGAATGGAAATGCTTATCTAAAAATCCAAATAATCCACTTCCAAATATATTTTTAAAAAAAAAAATTAAACATAATCTGTGGGTCATTAACAATTAAAGTTAAAGATGATATTTTCAATAAATTAATATTACTTAAATATAAAAGTATCAAAAAAATTTTGGCAATTCCTTGTTCATCTGACCAAAAAACTAGAATCCTATTGCAAGAATTGCATTTCATTCTTAATCCCACAAAGCAAACCAGACATGACCCTAGTAACAATAAAAAGCAAAATAAATTAAATATTACAAGAAAACGTAAAAGACACCAAGTGCGAACCTTTAAAAGCTTCATTGGCTAGGACTTTGATTTCTTCAGCTCGTGAAACTTTTGAATCTTCAGATTCCATATTGGGCATAACAAACAGTTGCTATTGTTCACTTGAAGTATGGTAGAATGTTAACAAACGATAGATTCCATAGATATTATAGTTATAGCTCTGTTGCACAAAAACACAACAACCATACAAGTGATTCTCTAATAAGCCAAAAGAAAACTTATTATTATTGTTATTATTATTATGACATGAAAAAAGAGCGAGTAAAGCAAAAAGAAGAAAAAAAAAAAGGCTGTGATTGAGACTCTATTGTCGATTCATTGATTGATACCTGAGAAAATGAAATCAAAGAAAGAAATCAGGTCATGGGCTGGGCTGTTGAGTGTTGATTGCAGCTAGGGCGTCTCTTGTTTGTGGAACGAAGGAGACAAGCAAGAGCCAAGAGGAGAGTGGAGGTTTAGTGCAAGTAGTATGCAAGACCCTGAGTAGAAGACTTTAGAATAGGGTTCTTTTTAGGCAGATAAAGAAAACGGTGCCGTGTCTAGTGAGACCTGATAAATGATAATAATAGTATTTTGTTTTTTATTTCATAATTTTTGTGTTTTTTTAGTAGGAGTACACACACATGATGGGTCCTGAACATGACGAGAATAATGTCACTTTAAATTTTATTTACAAAATTAATGTGTTTTCAAAGTAATTTCCAAAAGTAACGTGAATTGAAACGAATGAGCTCTTATCCATTTTTTTTTCTTTAGAAGGCGTTTTCTTACACTATATTTGGGAATGTGTAAAGAAAATAAGAGAAGAAAGAAAATAAGGAAGGATTGTATTATTTTTCTTTTCTTAGTTAGTTTTAACTCTATGTTTGCATAGAAGGAAAATAAAAGGAAAGAACAACATTTTACATGTTATTCCTTTTCTTTTTTTTTTTTTTTTTTTTTTTTTTTTTTACAAACATTTTACATGCTATTCCTTTTCTTTTTTTTTTTTTTTTTTTTTTTTTTTTTTTTTTTTAAGACCAAGGGAAGGGATAAAACTAGCCTCATACCAATTTAGGCCATGAACCACCTTGATAATCCCACCGCAACTTATCCAACACTTGACCCAAAGGCTTCTAGAAAAAGCACTTTGGAATCTCAGCCATAATCACCATGTTAGCTAAACAATCAGCCACTTGATTTGTGTCTCTATAATAATGCATCAACTCAACATGCCAATATCTATCTAGTAAAGCTTGAATAGAACGAATCGGATTAGCAATCTAGGTGCAACATGATCCTTTTTCTTTAACATCAGAACCACAAGCTGAGAGTCAAGCTCCATCATAACACGCCTATAGCCATGCTCCTAAGCAAACTTAAACCATTTAGCACTCCTTGAAGTTCTGCAACATACATCGGCCCAACTGCATAATAAAACTAGTAAGCCAAGCACCAGTGAAATCCTTTATAACACCACCGCATTCACTAGGGCTTAGATTGCCCCTAGCCGCACCATCAGAATTCACTTTGACCCACCCACATGATGAAGGAGTCCAAGCAATGTGCATTAGACCATGGCCCTGTTTGACATTAGACTAGTCTGAGATCTCCATGCAGCATTGTTATTCTTTAGTTGGAGAACAAGCTATACCACTTAGCCGAGACATCATACCATTCATTCCGAAAAACAACGGCATTTCTCCAACACCACAAATTCCAAAGTGCCAACCCCAAAACCACAAGAGAATTAAAGGAATCAAACTTGTAGGATTTAAGAAGATGCCCTCTAGACAGCCACTCTGCTGTTGGCCAACTAGAAAATTCCACCATAGATTCAGACGTCCATACCCTTTCCCAAAACTGCTTTGCATATATACAAGCATGAAACAAATGCTCAATAGATTCCTCGGAGGATCCACAAACTACTACCGAGCAATCTATAAACTCACGGCTGCATCTCTCCTGGTTAGTCATGAGGCGTTGATGTTGGAAAGTCCATAAGAACATATGAATTTTCTGAGCAACCTGCAACTTATGGATCCCTAACCAAACCTTATTAAAGGCCTGAATAGTATCCTTTTTGGCAAGGTGATAAGTTGATCCACAGAATAAATCCCTAATGCTATACCAGACCAGCTATATTCATCCCTGACCGCCACATCCTTTGTAAGCACAACAGCTTCCAAAAGATCACAAACCAACTGGGGAAGATAAGGCTTGATCAAATCCCAAACCTAGGTACCATTCTGCCAAAACGAAGCAACAGAAAGATCGAATAGATTATATAGGATATCACTTATACAAATATGAAACAAAGGTTCGTCCTTCAACCACACATCTTTCGAAAAGGAAGTGAAATAACCATTACCAACCACTTTACAAATACCTTTAGTTAAGAGCAGAAGACTATTCATAATCCCCCGCCATACAATAGAAGCTAAATTGCGTTTTTTAAACTGCTCTAATTCTATCATAACTTGCATATATTTTTCTTTAAGGATATGACACCACAGACCCTCACCATCAGTAAGATGACGCCAACCCAATTTTGCTAGAAAGGCTGAGTTTACTTCTCTACATGTGCGAATTCCTAGGGGTGAGCAATGGGGCGATGCGGCACCGAACTGAATCGAATCCAAAAACCAAAAACTGAAAACTGAAAATTTTACTTTTAAACTAACCGATCCAAATGAAATTATTTTGGTAACCAAATATGATCGAACCGCAAATTGCGGTTCCGTTCGATTACTGAATATTCAAATTTATTTTTTGAATCATTTTAATTTTAAATATGGAAAAAAAAAATCTATAATTCAATATCCAATTTAGAAGTTATAAGTTTTCTAATAAAATATTGAATTATTGCTTTAAACTAAAATCCACTAACTATAATAATAAATTAATATTCCAAAATCCATGAGCATACAAATTAACAATTTAAAATTCACAAATTAAACAAGTTAATAATTAAAGTCTAGAAAAGACCACAAATTAACTAGTAACCAAGTTCACATAATAAAACAACAAGTCAATAATAACTCCAAGCTTGATCATCAAATCACATCCATGTCACATATCCATAGTCCCAAAAGTTTACAAGTCCATCATTTTCTCCAAACCTAAAAAAAAAAAGGTTAAAAACAATTAATAATTAAATAGAAAAAGAATATATAAGTATTCCTCTTATATCATTATGGAGCCTATATACATAATGATACTAAGATCACAACTTATTAAAACAACTTATTAAATATCAACCAACCTTTTTAACAAAGGTCTAACTAGTAGCATTTAATGTCGTAGCACCAATTGTGATTTCAACCAAAGGTAGAGCTAAAAATTAAAACCAAACAATTATCAATACATATGCTCAAATTAAAATATTGAATAAGATAAAACAAACAATAATATTTTGATTTTGTCACATACCTTGTTCAAGTTTTTCAAGTTCTTCTATATCTTCTTCAACATTTATGTAAGATGATCGAAGCTAATCTTGTGCACAGATCAATCCCTCTACTATTTTAGGAGTCAAAGAACTCCTAAATGAGTCAAGCACTCTTCCTTCAGTGTTAAAAGCACTCTTTGAAGCCACTGTCGATACAAGAACTGCCAATATATCTCTAGCCATTCTTCCTAGGATAGGAAATCTCTCACAATTAATCTTTCACCATTTTAAGATATTAAAACCTTCTTTGTCATCTTGAATTGCTTCACTAAGACATTTAACTCAGTTTTTGCTTCTCTACCACCAAAATCTGAAAGTTTTTGCTTTTTGTAGTGTTGCATCAAAAAAGATTTTGGCTTTGTACATATCATACCAAGATCAATGCTACTAGTACTTACTTGAGATCCACCACTGTCAGCAGACTGATCACGCTCAGGTTGATATATATTTTTATATTCATTGAACAATTCTCTCACGGAGTTTTTCACACTTATAAACAAACTTTCACCCTTTACCTTGCCATACATCTTCTCAAATGCATACTCTATGTACTCAAATTTATCACGAGGGGTCAAGAACAACATAGATAAGTTTATTCATTTTGGTTATATTACCCCAATATTTATCAATTTTGGCCCTTATTTTATCATTCATAGACTTCACATCTTTTTATACATTATTTTGCCGTTCACTTAAAATAAAACAAAAATCATTAATCTCACTAAAGAACAAGTTGGATGTGACATACCTTGAACAAAGTAAACTCATAGAAATGAGACAACATATCAGCCATTTTTCTAACTTCTTCCCAATCCAAGTGGTCAGAAATCTTTTTATCTAACTCAATCCTAAACATTGGTTCCTGCGACTTGTATCTTTCATATTTTTCTGCTGTTTTCAATATTAAATATGTAGAATTTCATCTAGTAGGCACATCTAAACATAAAGGTGACTTGCATTAAATTTTTTCATATTCAATTCACTCCTTAAAATTTTTCAATCTAGTTGGAAAACTTTGAATATATCTCACTGCATTCCTTACCCTTGTCACTGACTCATTCACATCTTTTAATCCATCCATTATAACCAAATTAACAATATGTGCCATACATCTCATGTGAAGATAATCACAATTACACACACCAACATTTCAATTAATAAATTTCTTTTTCAAATAAGAACTAGCAACATCATTTGAACTAGCATTGTCAATAGTAATAGTAAAAACTTTATCCAAGCCCCATTCAAGCAAATAAGTTTCAATTGCCTTACTAATTGTCTCACCTTTGTGACATGAAATTGTACAAAAATTAATAATTTTTTTGTTCAAATTATAATCATCATCAGTATAATGCGCCGTGAAACACATATAGTTAATTCTTTAGCATGAAGTCCAAGTATCCATAGTTAAGCAAACCCGTTGACAATTTGTTCTAAAAAAATTTTTCAATGTAGACCTCTCATTCAAATACAATTGTAACAATCTTGAGAAGCTGTCCAACGAGATGGAATTCTAAACCTAGGGCATACAAGTTTCATAAATCGCTTAAAACCCTCACCTTCAACAAACTTAAAAGGTAATTCATCCACAATAACTATAAATGCAAGAGCCTCCCTAATTACATTTTCATTGTACTTCCAAGTACTAAGTGTCCCTACATCTCCCTCATTAGGATTTGAAATACGTTGCAAGGATAATTGTATTTGTCTTGTGTCAATTGCATGTGGATGATGCTTACAAGAATTCATGTGATTCCTAAGTGTATATGTGCCATTCTTTCTTGTATTACAACATAATTCTTTACTATAATGATTACACTTACATTTTTCTTCTCCTCCCTCACTAATGTACCCTGTGAAATGATCCCAAACAGCAAACCTTAGCTTTGTTGGCTTTCTCAAATTCCTTGATGCAATTTCAGTTTCACTTTGAGTTGACTTGGGGTTGGGTGAACTCATGAGTTCCTCAGGAGGAGTAAATGAACTCATTTTAGCTACTATATACTGTTAAAATGAAAAAGCAAGGAATAAAATCAATAATTATCTCAATTCTATTTAAT